GTGTTAGGGTACGGGTTAGTGTTAGTGTACGGGTAAGGATTAGGGTACGGGTTAGGATAAGGGTTAGGGTTAGGTTTAGGGAATGGGTACAGTTTAGGGTACACATCAGGGTACGACAACGGGTTAGGGTACGTGTTAGGGTATGGTTTAGTGTTAGTGTATGTGTTAGGATTAGGGTACGGGTTAGGGTTAGGGAACAGGTACGGTTTCGTCTACAGGTTAGAGTATGACAGCGTGTTAGGGTTAGGATACGTGTTAAGGTATGGGTTAGTGTTAGTGCATGGGTTAGGATTAAGGTACGGGTTAGGGTATGGTTTTTTGTTAGGGTTAGGGTTAGCGTTAGGGAACGGGTACTGTTTATGGTACTGGTTAGTGTATGACAATGGGTTAGGGTTAGAGTCTGTGTTAGGGTATGGGTTAGTGTTAATGTACGGGTTAGGATTAGTTTGTGTGTTAGGGTATGGTTTAGTGTTAGGTTTAGCGTTATGGAAAGTGTACGGGTTAGGGCACAGGTTAGGGTATGACAACAGGTTATGGTTAGGGTACCTGTTAAGGTTAGGGTTTGGACACGGGTTAGTGTAAGGTTTAGGGTTAGGGTTAGGGTTAGGCTACGACAATGGGTTAGGGTTAGGGTACGTGTTAGTGTTAGTGTTTGGGTTATTATTAGGGCATGGCTTAATGTAAGGGTTAGGGTTACGGTTAGGGTTAGGGATCGGGTACGGTTTAGGTTACAGTTTAATGTAAGACAACAGCAGCCTTTGGGGGTTTATCCGGGCATATTCAGCTCTAGTGTATAAACGAGGAACACCACTGGCAGGAAGGTCTGTTTCCCTAGTTACCAGAATGGGGAAAGCAAAAGTGCTACCGCACAATGGCCATTACCTGCAACAGCATCTTTAAAACCTGTGCTAATCGTCACTTCATATGCACAAGTACTGGAGGGCTGTAAATGAAACCTGCCCTCAAAATGTCTTGAGTGGTGTAATGGCCAAAATATTTCAAAATGTGGCACATACTTCAAGAAAACCATTTGAAGAGGTAAGTTGTTCTCACAGTTTGAAGAAAAAAAGGACATGCCTGAAAGCTCAATTTCAAGGGTTTATGAGATGCATGCAAATCCAGCCACAAAGAGGTATCAGCTCACAGCAGTCAAAATAAAAATTAGCAGAAAAACTACAAACAATAAATGCTGAGGGGTTATGGAGAAGTGCATACCTTCAACTTTAAATGGGGTGTAACCTGGTAAGAGTCACAGAATGGAGGTGCCTTTACAAGGTAAACATTTGGCTACCATATGATCCAGCAGGCCCACTCCAGGGCCTATAACCGAAGAAGACAGAACTGGAAAGACACAGGCAGGCAAATGTGCATTGCAGCAGTATTACAATAGCCAAGACATGGAAGCAACGAAAAGTCCATCAACAGATGAGTGGACAAAGAAGAACTTGTACATGTACAGATGGAATACTAGCCAAGGAAAAAAATGACGCAGTGCTATTGGCAACACCATAGATGAGTCTAGAAGTAATCACGCAACTTGTAGTAAGTCAGAAAGTGAAAGACACATATCCTATGATATCACTTATAGGTGTTACCTAAAAATTTACACCGGTGAAGATATTTTCACAGAGAAAGGCAATCACAGATTTATTAAACAAACTTATGGTTCACCAATGGAAAGGTGTGCGGATTGGATACATTGGGATGTTGGTGTTAACGGAGATATACAAACACAGGTGAAGTATATAATCACCAAAACCCTACAGAATACCAAGAGAAGACCACTCAACACTGTGTCATAACCTACATGGGAAAAAGGTCCAAAGAACAATAGATATATGTATATGTGTAAAACAACCACATCCTGCACACCTAGAACAAGCAAAACATTGTAATCACAGTTGCTGTGATAAAAAATTAAATTAAAAAAACAAACAAGAAATAGTGAGATATAAACTTAAGGGTCTTTTTCCTGGCACATTGCATTCTAATTTACATCCTAGAACACGACTTCCCGTAAGGCTCTGTTGACCTAGTAACCAGATTTGTTAAGGAGAATTGCTGCCGCCTTGTGCCCCTTTCACACAACAACAGCTCTAAACCCAGAGCTAATCTTTACTTGATATTCAAAATAATTCCAGGCCTGTAAATGACACCTGCCCGCTAAACAAACTTTTGGGTCGTAAATCAAGCAAAAAAATAAAAAGACGTGCACATTTCAAAGTGACGATTTCAAGAGGCATATTTTACGCACATTTTGTCTTCTCTTTCTTTTTCTTTCATTTTTTCTGTTAAGAAAAAGGGCATGGGCGCGCGTGTGCGGGAGGGGGCGGGTGGGGAAGGATCGCCAGCGAGATCCTGAGGCGAGGCTCGCGCGCCCGCCCCCGCCCTGGCCCCCAGCTCCCACCCGGTCGGCCCGGCTCAGCCATGATCAAGGCGATCCTCATCTTTAACAACCACGGGAAGCCGCGGCTCTCCAAGTTCTACCAGCCCTACAGTGAAGATACACAACAGCAAATCATCAGGGAGACATTCCATTTGGTATCTAAGAGAGATGAAAATGTTTGTAATTTCCTAGAAGGAGGATTATTAATTGGAGGATCTGACAACAAACTGATTTATAGACATTATGCAACATTATATTTTGTCTTCTGTGTGGATTCTTCAGAAAGTGAACTTGGCATTTTAGATCTAATTCAAGTATTTGTGGAAACATTAGACAAGTGTTTTGAAAACGTCTGTGAACTGGATTTAATTTTCCATGTAGACAAGGTTCACAATATTCTTGCAGAAATGGTGATGGGGGGAATGGTATTGGAGACCAACATGAATGAGATTGTTACACAAATTGATGCACAAAATAAACTGGAGAAATCTGAGGCTGGCTTAGCGGGAGCTCCAGCCCGTGCTGTATCAGCTGTAAAGAATATGAATCTTCCTGAGATCCCAAGAAATATTAACATTGGTGACATCAGTATAAAAGTGCCAAACCTGCCCTCTTTTAAATAAAAAATTTAAAAGGCCACTCCCAGGTAAAATCCGGGGGAAATGTCATCTAAGTTTACCATGCAGTTGTTTACCAAAAATAGAGGAGGAGAGGCTTAACTTTTGCTCTTGGATTTAAGTCAAGGTACTGTATAGAAGTTATGTAAAACCAGTATGGAAGTTCATTGTTGCTTTTCTTGTTCAGTGATTTTGAAGAATTTGAGTAGTTACAGTGTGATTTTTTTCTTTATTTTCTAAACTGCATTCCTATGGCCACCTAAGGCATGCCTCTATGTATTGGCTACTACAGTATTTTGAAAAGTGTTTGGGACATTTCTTTAAATTATGTATAACCCAAAATGTTGGTGTTTTGTATGGATCACAAATACAGCATTCCTTAATTCTTTCTGTTATTTGTCAGAATTGTTATTTAAAGAACGAAGTATGTATTGCATGAAAACATTATGACCTTTTTCTCTTAGTTTAAATAAACTCCAAGGTAACTGGAAAAAAAAAAAAAAGAAAAGAAAAAGGGCATGGAAAAATGCTAAACATCAGAATTAATAAAGCCATGCAAATCCAGTCTACAAAAACTTTCACCTCACAGCCGTCAGAATGATCATCAGCAAAAAAAGTCTACAAACAATAAATGCTGAAGGGATTTCAGAGAAATGTGTACCCTCTAGCTGCTGTTGGGATGTAACCTGGTAACAGCCAGTAGTGAGAACAGAATGGAGGTGCGTTTAAAGGTAGAAATTGAGCTACCATGAGATCTGGTAGGCCAATTGATGGGCCTATGTCCTGAGTAGACCAGAATCAAAAAGACACAGGCTGGCAATCCTGCACTCTGGCAACATGTACAATAGCCAAGACTTGGAAGAAACCAAAATGTCCATCAACAGAAAAATGCAAAAAGAAGAAGTGGTCGATGTACACAATGGAATATTATCCATGGAAAACTATGAAACAGTGCCGTTGGCAACACCATACTAGGATCTACACATAATCACCCAACATAAAGTAAGAAACAAACCGAAAGACAGATATCCTATGACATCACTTATAGGTGTTACCTAAAAATTGATACCCATGAAATTATTGCCAAGAGAAGGACACACATGGATTCAGGAAACAAAAGTATGTTTAACCAAATGGAAATGTTAATCAAAAGTCTGTTTAATAAATCTGTGATTGCTTTTCTCTGTGGAAATATCTTCATTGGTATAAATTTTGGGGTAACACCTACAATGGATATCATAGGGTACGTGTCTTTTGCTTTCTGACTTACTTCAAGTTGTGTGATTACCTCCAGAGTCATTACCTCCAGAGTACAGCTTACCTATTCAAATGGTTTCTTAAAGTATGCGCCATATTTTGAATGTTTTTGGCCATTACCTCCTTCAACCGTTTGGTTGGCAGGGGTCGTTTATAGCCCTGCAGTCCTTGGGAATATGAATTGACCTTTAGCACAGGCTTTAAAGCCGCTGTGGCGGCAAAGGGCCACGGGGCGGCAGCATTTCTACATTCCCCACTCTGGTTACTAGGGAAACAATACGCCTCTGAAGTCGTGTTCCTTGTTTGTACATTACAGTGGAATGTGTATGAATAAACACCCAAAGCATATGTCTCCTTACTTAGGTTTGTTTTTTATATTTAATTTATATTTTTTATCAGAGTAATAGTCCATTGCATACATGGACCACTTCTTTTGTATGCACTCATGTGTTGATGGACATTTTGGTTGTTCAAAGTCGTGGCTAGGGTAAAAAGTGCTGCCTCGTAAGTATGTCAGCCTGTGTCTTTTTGATTCTGGTCTTCTCGGGGTATAGGCCCAGTACCGGGCCTACCAGATCATATGGTAGCTTAATTTTTACCTTTAAACGCACCTGCTTTCTGTTCTCACTACTGGCTGTTACCATTTGATATCCCACCAGCAGCTACAGGCTACACAGTTCTCTAAAACCCCTTGAGCATTTACTGTTTAAGATTATCTGCTGATGATCATTCTGTCTGTTGGCAGGTATACGTTTTCGTAGACTGGATTTGCATGTCTTCATTAATTCCTGAGGTTAAGCTTTTTCCATGGCCTTCTTTGCTGAACAAGAAAAAAAGAAAGAAAGGGAAAAATGAGTTAACTAGGCCTCTTGAAATTTTCTCCTTGAAAGGTTGCCCTTTCTGAATTTTTAGGTAGATGTTCCAACCCAGGTATTTCTGAGGGCAGGTGTCGCTTACAGGCCTGCAATTCTTGTGAATATAATGGGACCCTTAGCCCTGTCTTTAAAGCTGCTTTGGCAGGTGGCGGTCACCAGGCTGCGGCATTTCTCCATTCTTAAATCTGGTTACTAAGTCAACAGAGACTTCCTGGAAGCTGTGTTCCAAGGTTGTATGTTAGGATGGAATGAGCCAGGAAGCACCCCCATAGTTTTATGCCCCATTATTTCTTGTTCGTTTTTTTAATTTAATTTTTATTTTTTATCACAGCAGGTTTGATGATGATGTTTTGTGTGTTCTACGTGAGCCAGATGTGTGTGTTTCTGGCACCGATACATATATGTATTCATCCTGGGATCCATTAGCCATGTAGGTTATGACACAGTGTTGAGTAGTCTTCTCTTGGAATTCTGTAGGTCTTTGGCGATTATATATTTCACGTGTGTTTGTATACCTCTGTCGACCCCAATATCCTAATATATCCAATCTTTACAACTTTCCAATTGGTTAAGCATAAGTTTGTTTAATAAATCTGTGATTCCTGTTATCTGTGGAAATATCTTCGTTGGTATCCATTTCTAGGTAACACCTATAATTGATATCATAGGATATGTGTCTTTCGCTTTGTGACTTACTTCAAGTTGTGTGATCGCCTCCAGAGTCATCTACGGTTCTTCAAACTGCTTCGTTTCATGTTTTCTCCATGGCTCATATTCCATCTGTACACGTGCCAGTTCTTCTTGGTCCATTCGTATCTTGATGGACTTTTTGGTTGTTTCCATGTCTTGGCGATTGTAATACTGCTGCAGTGCAGTTTTGCCTGAATGTGTCATTCCACTTCCGTCTTCCTAGGTTATAGGCCAAGGAGCGGGCCTGCGGGATCATATGGTATCTCAGTGTTTACCTTTTAAGGGCTGCTCCATTCTCTTTTCATTAGTGGCACTTACCAGTTTACGAGCCACTTAAAGGTGAGAGTGCATTTGCTCACAACCTCTTCAGCATGTATTCTTTGCTGAGGGTCATTCTGACTGGTGTGAGCTGATACCATTTTGTGGCTGGATTTGCATGTGTCGAATAATTCCTTATATTGAGCTTATAGCCCTGCCTTTTTTATTGTTTTTTAAAGAGTGAGTACAGCTTACCTATTCAAATAGTTTCTTGAAGTATGCGGCATATTTTGAATTTATTTTGCCATTACCTCCCTCAACACATTTTGCTGGCAGGTGTCATTTATAGCCCTGCAGTCCTTGTGAATAGGAAGTGACCTTTAGCACGGGTTGTAAAACTGCTGTTGCGGCAAACGGCCACAGGGCGGCAGCATTTCTACATCGCCTACTCTAGTTACTAGGGAAACAGTACCTTCTGGGAAGTAGTGTTCCTTGGTTGTAAATTAGAGTGGAATGTGCCCGGATAAACACACAAAGCTTATGTCTCCTTAGTTATGTTTGTTTTTTATATTGACTGTATTTATTGTATCGGAGTCATACTCCGTTGTGTACACGGACCACTTCTTTTTCGTGCATTCATCGGTTGATGGACATTTTGGTTGTTCCAAGTCGTGGCTAGGGTAAATAGTGCCGCAGTGTAGGACTGTCAGCCTGTGTCTTTTCGATTCTGGTCTTCTCAGGTGATAGAGCCAGTAGTGGGCCGACCAGATCATACGGTAGCTCAATTTTTACCTCCTTTCTGTTCTCACTACTGGCTGTTACCATTTGACATCCCAGCAGCAGCTAGAGGGTATACAGTTGTCTGAAACCCCTTGAGCATTTATTGTTTGGAGATTTTCTGCTGATGATCATTCTGACTGTTGTCACGTAAACGTTTTTGTAGATTGCATTTGCATGTCTTTAGTAATTCCTGATGTGGAGCTTTTTCCACGGCCTTTTTTGTTAAACGAAAATAAAGAAAAAAAGAAAGAGTGTGAGTTAAATGTGCCTCTTGAAATCGTCGTCTTGAAAGATTGCCCTCTTTTGCATTTTTTCGTCGATATTCGAACCCAGGATTTTTTTGAGGGCAGGTGTCGTTTACAGAGGTGCAATTCTTGTGGATAGTAAGAGACCCTGAACACTGTGTTTAAAGCTGCTTTTGCGGGAGACAGTCACAAGGCTGTGGCATGTCTCCATTCCCAAATCTGGTTACTAGGGCAAAAGAGCCTTCCTAGGTGTAATGTTCCAACCTGTAAGTTAGAATGGAATGGGCCAGGAAAAACCCCCATGAGTTTATGTCTCATTACTTCTTGTTGGTTTTCTTAATTTGATTTTTATTTGTTATCACAGCAAATTTGATTACCATGTTTTGTTTGTTCTGGGTGTGCAAGATGTGGTTCTTTTACATATATGCATATTATCTGTTCACCTTCGGATCCATTTCCCGTGTGGGTTAGGACACAATGTTGAGTAGTCTTCTCTTGGTATTCCATAGGTCTTTGGTGCTTATATATT